TTATATAATTTAATAATACTTAATATAAAATTAACAAATTTTATTAATTTTAGAGATATTAATATTTATGAAGTTATGGTAATTGATAGAATGCATCATTTAGATTTAGGTTTATTTAACTATTAAATTACTTTTATATACAATCTTTTAAAAGACTTATATAGATCTACAATACTCGATAAAATAGATAATTGATTAGCTAATATTCCAAGATATTCAGAACTTAAAATTTTTAAGAATGAAATTTAATCACTTTCTAGAATTATAGCTAAAGAATATTGTAATATTATAAAAGTTACAATTTTTGTTTTGGACAACCTAATTAGTGATGAAAAATTAAACAGAAAGTTACTAAAAATTTATGAAGATTGGAATAATATGTATATTATGAGCCAGTATAAAGAATTCGATAAAAATGATTTGAATAATTTTGAGGTATTTAAAATATAGTTGAACCTCTCTAAATGCACCCTCTCTAAATGCACACCCTATCTAAATACATGCTATGGCCCGATCCCAAGCTCAGAACTTAGAATTAAATGCACACCCTCTATATTCTGCACGTACAAGAGATTTTAAAGTCCCGAATATATTGATTAACCTCTGTAATTGCATACATATGTTATATATAACAAATTGGCAATTAAGATCACTATACTAGCAATGCTTATTCATAGTATACAATTATTTATTTAAATATAGACATTTATACTATCATGTATTTTCATTTGAATCGAAGCAATATCATATGAGTGCTGCTAAAGAAAAACCTGTAAGCCAATTTTGAAGCGAGTTTACTCTTGAGAAAATTGTAATATGATGTATTAAATTATTGTATACAATCAGTGTCATTAAAATTTTTATTAACCTAAGTCTGTTAAATAGCAATAAGTGCACATGATATAGAAACAATCAGAACACTGATTGTATACAATGATTTAATACGTCATATCACAATTTTTTCAGGAATAAACTTGCCTTATTGATGCCTCAAAATTGGCTTACAGATTTTCCCTTGGCAGCACTCATATCGAGAAATTCTACATAGTATAGGCATATAAAGACATTATGAGATTGGCTAATCAATTAATCAATAAAACTTACCATATAAATAAGTGAATAGCAAAATTTTATTATCTTGACCTATTATTATGAATTAAATATTTTGTTTTTCATAATACTGTAAACAAGAGTTGCCTAGAAAAATATATATATTCATTCGATTCATGAGTATGCAGTTAGGGATATTTCTATATTTGGCATATATTTAGCAGATTATTCCAGAACACAAATAGTTATACAAACATGATAATCCAAAAATCGATCGTCTTATTATTAATAAATTTTTGAACATTTTCACGAGTTTCATATGACAAGCTTACAAAAACTGCCCATGTAACAAAACAAATCCTTATAAAACTAATAAGTTTAAACAAGACGGATTCATAATCAGCCAAACATTTTCTATAATCAACTTGTTTTCAAAGTTTATGACTATAGCGAAATACAGTGTTTTTTTTTGTTATTAAAATTATTGAAGTTCTTTTTTCCTTTTTTTTGATTTAGAAATATGTTGAAAATTCTAGCACCTTATCTCTATATTGTTGGCACTAATGTTTCGCTTTCTTAATACTACAATCAAGGCTGGCACTTTGATGCTTACTTGGGAAATTTCATTTACTTTAGTCCAAGTTTACCTTGGAATTCTTAAATTTTATTTGTAAGAAAAAGGTTTCATTACTTTCGTGCAAAAAATGCTCATTTACTTACACTGTAAACTAATTATAATCTTTATGGTGACATATACACTCTAGTACTACCCGATTTTTTGTTGGCTCGGAAATACAGTTTGAATACAGTCCTTTATTGCTTTAATAATAAAGTTAGTTGAAAATCAGTTCATAAATTTATTATTGTTGTCTGTTGTTTACAATATCCCATGAAGACCTAGTGAATATAATAATATTAATTTGCTACATTTAATATGAGTGCTACCAAGTGAAAACCTGTTACCGGGCTTTCAATTATATTTTATATCAAACACAACCTATTAATTTATTAAAGGATATGTCCAGCACGAAATATAATTGAAAGCCAATGACAGGTTTTCCCTTGGCAGTACTCATATGATATATTCCAAACATAGTACCTGGTTCTTTATACAGTTCTTGATGTGTTATTCAATTTAAAAATGGAATTCTTGAACACCTCAGGTATTGTAAGTAGTGACCAACAATTACTACCTTTCTTATATCGTAGTTTACTAATAATGAATTTCAACACTTTTTATTTTACTAGCAGAATCTTCTCAATGAAAACAAGCGCAAGATCTTCTATGCATCTTTGTTAATTTAGTTAAGACATATGAAAGTATGGGTTTATTAGAATGTGAAACAAAAGAATTACAAACTATATGGCACACAGATAGTAAAAAACCAATGAATCGTCTTTAATTGTATCATACCTTTTTTCCTGAGTTGGTTAAACTTTAAATGCATTTAGAAGATTTTTCTTTATGCGAAAAGCACTATAATCAACTAATTGCTTCTGATTTTCTGCATCAAATTCTCTTAAGTTCAAATTTGCCTAATAATCAACAAAGTAATCAAAAAAAAAAAGTTATTGATGTTCTTGATAATAAATTTGTTAAAAAGCAGGTGTGTACAGAGCATGTTCATGAAACCGAAGTTGAAATAAATACACATAATAGCTTGCTAGTTAACAGACAAACTAATGATGTCGCTGTGCAAGTTAGTAAAGAAACCCATGAGTTCAGCGTTCAAGTATCTGATGTTATGTTGCATACTCTTGAAACTCACATTAATTTATTTGAGTTACAGTTAAATTCAAAAATAAATGAGTTAGAGGATCTTAAAAAACAATTATACTATATCTACGATTATATAATTAAGAGTTGGGATCACATTCAAAAAATAAATAAAACAAATAAAGAGTTAACTAAACAAAATAATGTGCTAAAATTTGAATAGAAAAATTGATATAATAGCCAACAAAAAAGAATTGATTCGGTAATTCAAATTGTGAATGAAGAATGCCAAAATATTTATAATAATATCAAGTCATTAATTTTTAATAAGCAGCGATTCTCTTTTAATAATTTATTAAATTTTGCTCCTAACAATTGGTTAGCTAATCGTAATCTAGTAATTGTTAATTTTATTAATACTCTTTCACGCAATGACAGTAATAGCTGTAATAATTATATATTAAGTGAAAAAGTTTTTAAAAAAATCATTGCTGTCGATGCTATCTATGGTTCAAGACATAAAAACTATGTATCAAAAATAAATCTAGCTATAACAGGGATCAAATATTCGCTAGCATGATCTAAAACAATTATTGATATCGATAATCATATAATTAGTTCAGGAGGTTATATGAAATTTGTTGGTTGGTTAGAATCATTAGCAGTTGAAAATGAACTTTTACCTAAAGGACTTTTATTTTTAGCCTTTGACAATGAGCAGTGTAGTCAATTCAATTATCTTAATCATGGGCATAATACAGTTATTTATCATACAGTTACGAGTTTTGTTATACTAAATATGAATAAAAATAACTATATTCAATTTACAACTGCACCTTGGATTTTCAATTCTCTAACTGATAACTATCATGAAAAATTATATCATATTTTACCCAAAATGCAAATAGAATATGAGCTAGAATTAAAAATATACTTATCATCCATTTTAGAGGAGCTCGTTGCTGAAAAAAATGAAAAGGTCAATGCTATTGACATAACTATAAAAAATCAAAAAGGCGTTAGAAGTTAATTGAAATGGTGTAAAAAATGCAATACAACTCACATCAATAACAAAAAACATAACTGCCCTCAGTGTAATGAAAAATTAGACACATTGGCTGCTTTACAGAAAGAATCTGCTAACGAATTTACTCGAATTAATAATACAGTCCCTCAATCAAAACCTCTTATAATAAAGCCACGT